GTAGAATCAACCTCAGGCTGTCAAGTTTTAAGTTTTAAGGCAAGCTCTTTTTACTTGCTGAGCCATCTCACTGCCCCTTGAATCTTTACTATACTCATGCTGTGGCTTTCCCTGAAGCATTGACCATGCTTAGGAGTCACCTGTGTACAGACTGTGACTAATGCCAGGGAGTCTAATCCAGAAGTCAGAGGACGCTCCAAGGACTCAAGCCATGGTATACTAAAGCCATGGCATACTCAATCTACAGCACACTGTCAGAACTAAGGCCTGATGGGTGATAAGATCAGCACAAAGCACTCAAGAGAGCACAAAGTTTGGCACAGAGCTGGGAACAGCCATGAGACTACAAAATACATTTTCCAAACTAAACCTAGAAAAGCAAAGACTTAGGAGTAAGAATAATTTGAACTCAACTGGAAAAGTGTCATGCCTATGAAAAGATGGTACAACTCAGTGTGCAGGTACTAGATGCAAACAGGATATGACTTCCTAGTTTCTCCAAGACACTATGTTACTCTTTCAAATAAAGGCCTATGGTCATGGACCACACTGAGAATGTAAAGAATCTTACATCCATGTCAACCTTTTGACATGTAACACAACACAGTCATCTAAAGGTTCACAAGAACTTTAATGCCAGCACTTAGGAGGCAGAGGCAGGGAGATCTGAGTTCAAGGTTGCCAGGTCTACAGAATGAGTTCCAGGACAGCAAGGGCTACACACAGAGAACCCTGTCTCAAAAAACAATAACAAAACAGAATCAATTTAGTAAGAAATACATTACATACACTTCATAATATATTAAGTTTGTGATTTTGTGTTGGGTTGCATTCATAGCTATCCTGAGTCATATGGGGCCCATGGCTGGACATGCAGGCTGGGCCATTTCACATGAAAAAAAGAAAAAACTAACACATACAACATAAAGTTTCTTCATTTCAGAACACTTCCTGAGCCTCTTGGGACTGAACCACAGAGCTCACATATTGGTCCCACAGTCCCAAGGTAACCCTGGTGCAAATGCTTCATGGCCAATGAAGTCTGCAGTTACCTGTTATTTAAGAGGGACTATTAATTTCTGTTTTATAAACTGCTTTCAGACAGTACAGACTAAATGGACCATTGCACTGACTAAAGGAAAAAGAAAATAACATTTGTTGGGTAAAATTCAAGTCATTTACTCAGCACCAAAAAGCAGAAGCCTCACACAAAATAGTCCTGAGATCTAAGTTCATTCTATAAGCTGCATGGCTGCTGGATCCCAGATTGTCAATACCCAAGTTCAGCACTCTGTAACCAAGTTACAAATACAGTAACTGTGTTACTGCAGTGGGTGGGAGTTTTCAAAATAAAACTCCCTTAAAACACCAACCTTCCAAGAATTACTATAATTAGGTCTGAGTTATTTACTTAATAGAATCACACTCCATTTTTAGCACCTGCTCACGGGCAGCTTAAGGTGAGAAGTGCATCCCCTGGCTTTTGGAAACATGATGCACTTTTCTCCAGCTCTGCACCAGCATGCTTGTTAGAAACATCTAACAGCAAAACAAATGCGGAAAATATATATCTTCACCACATGCCTTGGTTGTAGAAGAGAAAGAGGTCCCAGGTTTGGGTTGTTTAGCAGGCAGGGGGCATGGTGCCAAACACCACAGAGATGCTCAGCTTTGAGTCTCTGGTGATAAAGAGTCTGGCAGGCAGGAATCAAGCACCTATTATCTGATGTCTACTGGCAGGCTACAAAAGCACAGGAGACCTGGATGCCTATCAGAAGGAAGGAGTCACCAAAGAGCCACACTAAGCTCAGAGCGTGATGACAACCCAAGTGCTGAAGTTAATGTGAGCTTTAGTTTCTTCAATGGAAATTCAGTAGGAAATAATCTGTCCATGTCCATGTTTACAGAGACAGTGCTTCCCACTGATGGAGAGAGAATACAGTCTCCAACTGTCCAGCTTTGTCATCTGCCAACTTCAGAAAGTTATTTAAACCCCCCTATTCTTGCTTCTTCAACCCCACAAGGTAATTGTAGGACCAGGAAGGAAACTTTCAGAAAGTGCATGCCAAATAATAGGCACTCCATAAATGTTAGCTGGCATCATCCCTAACAGCTGACAAAATTAGTCAATTTGTCAGACTTTTATTACATTTAGGTGTCCTTAGAAAAATTACAGACTCCAATTTTTTTTCTTTTTAGTGAGGGTTTTACTTCACCGTTCATGGGTTTGTTTTAAGACAGTCTTATTCTATAACCAACACTTACTTGGAACTTACCATGTAGCTCAGGCTGGCCCTGAACTGGTGGCCAACATTCTCCTGCCTAAACTTCCCCAAGTGCTGAGATTACAGGCATGTGCTACCAAACTGACTTCTTGGGTTTTTTGGTTGCATATATACATATACATATACATATACATATACATATACATATACATATACATATACATATACATATACATATATAATTAATTAAATACCTAGCTAATTATTCTTATCAAGAACCTACCAATACTTGCCTGTAATTTCGACACAAGATCATCGTTGGCTACATAACAATTTCAAAGTCATCCCAGACAAAATGAGACCCATCTTAAGAACTAGAAATACACATTGCCACTTAAGGCCCACAAAGTTGAACTTTTCATCTACTCTAATTGGACTCCCCCAGACAGTTATTAGTTCTTTGGATCTGAATACATTTCAACCTTCGTAGTCAAGACCAAACTCCAAAACATCATTATTCTTACCAGCACTATCCCAACAGCCTTCTGCTCTTTCCCTCCACACATCATGATGAGGAGAACTTTTTAAAATCCAACTATTTTAGAAAGAGAGATGTACATGTCATATAACACCGGTGGTGACTAGAAGACAACTCTGTGGAGCTGGTACTCTCCTTATACTTTCCATGGTTCTACAGACATAACTCAAGCAAGCCTCAGCCTCAGCCCAAGTCCAGGTCATGGTCACAGTCATGAATCTCTACACCCTTACCATTCAGGAGCAAAGCTGGAGGACTATGAGTTCCAAGACAGCCTGAGATACACTGCAAGATTCTCTACATGGAATACTAAAGTAAAAAGGGAAGGAACTAAATGAAAAGGGGCCTAGAAAGACAGATCAGCAGTTAAGAGCACCCGCTGCACTTCCGGGACTCAAATTTGGTTCCCAGCACCTATCTCAGAAGGCTCACAAGGGCCTCTAACTTCAGCGCCAAGAGATCTGATGCCCTCTTCTGGCCTCTATGGGCACCTGCAGTGTACACACATCTTTTAAGAAAGGAGTGCATGCCTTTAATCCCAGCACTCAGGAGGCAGAGGCAGATGGATCTCTATAAGTTTGAAATCAGCCTGATCTACAAAAACGAGTTCCAGGACAACCTGAGCTATTGAGCTATCACACACACACACACACACACACACACACACACACACACACACACACACACACACCCCTCTGTCTCAAAAAAAGAAAGGAAGGAAGGAAAACCTATTATCTAATTTCCCATAAGTCCCATAGCTAAAAGGTCTATAGGAACCAGTATATCCATAACCATCCTCTCTGTGACTGCTCAAGCTACAGTTTTCTCAGATTCATATTGGTTCCTCTGGCCTTTGAATGGTGCTCCCTCTACGTGGCATCATTCCCCTCTCACCACTACCCTGAGCAACTTGTCATCTTCCAGATCTCGGTGAGAGACTGGAACACAACAAATCATGCTGTTTCATATTAGCAACCTTCGCCATCCTCTCTGAAACACAAAATACAACTGTCATAAAATGGCTGAAACTGCTATTGCAGTTTAATATTGCTCTTGTCTAAAAAAAAAAAAAGCTAGACTCCAAATAAATATGGGTCCATTCCCATCTTTAGTTGGCACAACTCAAATTCACCACCATAAGCCTGATGAGCTATATATACTGTAGTTATTTTCAGTACACCTTTGTCTATAGAGGAAAGTGGTGTGATACGTGAGGGAGACAAGCACATCACTCACAAAAGACCCGCAGCACTATATTGGCTAACTTACCTCACACATTCCACTGAAGCGAGAGCAAAAACCCATTGCTTTAACATGGGCAAAATAAACTGAAGACTAAACTTTCCAGAGTAACACTAAGTTTCTCTGTGCATCCTCATCAGGTGTTCCGTGGAACAAGAGTCCAACTTCAGTCACCAGTAAGTAGATATGCGACTAAATCAAAACTGCTGCCACATTTGGCACCATCCACCTCCCTTCTTGGCAGGCTCCGAGAGGCCAGGAGTTGAGCTGGCCTGGGAAGAGTGATTTATCCTCCCACATTTAGAAGTGGTCCCTTTGCAACAGAAACGCTGTACTGCTTATGAATTTTGAATTCTAACCTTGTCAAACCCGTACCCTCCGGACTTGTTTCACGAAAAAGAAAAATCTGATTCCTGTGTGCCACTGACAAAAACAAACACCACTGTCCAACTCTTTTTGGAGGAAAAAGTTGCTTCCTTGCTTCCAAAAACCAGATCTCTCTTTCTACAAAACAAAGTGACTGCTTGGAAAATTACAAGGAACCGACAGGCAGATGTTAAGAGGTTAAAGGCTAAGGCGCAGGCAGATAGAGGTTAAGGGTTGCTAAAGGCTAAGGCTGTTGATGGAGGCTGCTCAGGGTAGTAGCATTTAGACGAGAACCAGCAGGCCCAGGCGAGCAGCAGCTCTCAGACACTGGCCGAGGATCCCAGGTCCAGGAGAGGCACGCAGGTTGACAAACGCCAAGTCCCAAGCAGCCAGGTTCGTCACACAGACCCTGCCCAGGCAACAAGCACCCCTGCCGGGCTCTGCACTCCCAGGAGCGTCCCGGCTCCAGCGCAGCCCTTCCCGGGACTGCGCGCCGGGGAGGCTGGGGTCAGAGTACTCGTCCCGGGCAGGGCTCCGGGAAGGACGCCGGCCAAGGGCTGCGGTCCCACGCCTGGCCCTTTGTTCCTTCCTGACGGCGCAGGCCCGGGCTCAGCGGCCCCTGTCCTCACCTTGTATACGTCGCCGTAGGTGCCGCTTCCGATGCGCTGGATCAGCTCGAAGTCCTCCTGAGGGTTCCGGCGGGACAGGTCGAAGCCGGGGTTCATGGCGGGCCCCGGGTGCCCCCCACCTCCCTCCCGGCCCGGGGAGGGGGGCGTTCAGGGGGGCCGCCCGGCTCCGCCGCCGGTCACAATCGCCCGGCTGCACGCCGCGGCCGCCGCCGACCACGACGAGCCGCCCGGCGTCCCCGCCCTCCGCCGCCGCGCGGAGCCGGGTCACACCCACCAGGAGAGGAGCGCGCCCGCAGCCCCTCGCTTGGGGTGCAGCTTCAACATGGCTTCCGCCCGCCGCTCGGTCCGCCCGCCCTCCTGTTACCAGCCCGCGCGCCACTGCGCAGTCGCCATCCCGGAGGCCGCGCGCTCCCGGTGGGGCCCGCGCGCTCCCTGCACGCGTGCCCCTTGCGTGGCGCCGGAGTCGCTTTAACAAAGTTGGAAGCCCTGCTTGGTGGCCCCAGCCCCGAGCACGTAGTAGTTGCAACGTGCGAAATGGTATCCCCAACTTTTTAGGAGCAGGTACTCGCGGGCTACAACCGAGAGCTCAGGAGGTCCCCATCAGAAAGGTGAGGGAACTGACACTTTGGTTCTTGGGGTTGGCCTGACAGGGGTGTAGAGAGGACCAAGGCAGAGCCGAAGGGGAAAGGGGGCGGGGGGGGGGGGGGAGACGGACACACTCGTGGGCGGGAAGCAATGCAGCACCTAAGCCGTGATTGACCTCTGTCCCGGGAGAGGGTTGGATTATCAAAGCTCGGGGCGGCGACTGTGCAAGCAAGCTGTCTGGCAACCCTATGAAGGGGAGGTTGCAAAGGGTGGGGCCTGGACCGGATCTATTCCCACACCTGAAATGTAAACACGTGACCATCCCGAAGCTCCATAGCTTCTACCTTACCTGACCAGCGCTCCACCCAGTTTAAGACCCAGATAAGCCAGTTTAAGACCCAGATAAGCCAGCGTTACTTACAAACGTTGAAGCCACCCTCTCTGACTGCTGTAAGTTATCTAAGAAAGGACGCAGGCAATGGAAAGGTCATGTTGGTTTCTCACTAAAATAACTACTGCGCATTTCCAGAAGTTGGAACCAAGTCGTTGATGGCCACTCAGGCGTTACAACGTTGTATTTTTTTTCTTCAAAAAGGTTTTCCTAATCTTAGGCACCACACCTCCTAAGGATTAACGTTCCCTAATGCCTAGTGACTTCTTAGAAAGTAGGTCTCCTCAAACTTTTTAATGAATAGTTGAACAGTCTAGTTAACAGTTAACGGCTTCATATTTTTAAAAAATGTTATATTGCTTACAGTATAATTGCACACTTACTAAACTTTAAAATTGTATAATCCAAATCGGGTGTGGTGGCACATGCCTACCATCCCAGCACTTGGGAAGCTGAAACAGGAGCATCGCTGCAAGTGTTATCACCAGCCTTGACTACAGAATGTGTATATGGGTTATTGAATGTCTGTTGACTAAAAAATGTTGGGAAATGGTCCTCTGTGTACCACATAAACGGGCTTCCAGTCGTATGATGTTTAGTTATCCTAAAGCATCGGAGTATAACAATGTTGCTTACGTTTCTGCACCAGAGGTTCACATCACCGGATTAATTCAGGATAAACTTTAAGGTTGTGCTATCTTGAGGTATTCTGGACTGTGCATGTTTTTTTCACAGCTTCTTTCTGACTGTTGAAGGCACTATCCAGGGTTGAGGAGCCGGCCTGCCTTCTGTGTGTGTGCTGTGGGTGGAGAACTGTTTGTCTTCTTTAAGCTAAACATGCAGATAATTGGCTAGGGACTCAGATAAGCAAATTTAAGTATCCCAAATCAGGACCAGCTCTGCTCTCTTTCTCTGCCCTTTTCATGCTTAAAAAGCCAAGTTTCCAGGACTGAATCGGTTGCACCAGAAAGTTCTAATGGTTTCACTGTTTTGTTTGCTGGGATTATCATTTGTGCAGAAAACCAAGTGTTTGCATCGCTAATAGACCTCTTTCAAAGGGAAAACAAATTTCAGCAGGGTTGGAGCAGGCTTTAAAGTTGTGCTTGTTTCAATTTGGCAGGACTTAACCACTCCTTTTTTGCAAAAAGACAGATTTGCATGTATGGGCCCTAGTTGCCATATGGGGTTAGGCCATAAATAAAAAGGTCTCTTGTAATTAACTGCTCACAAAGAATAAAAATATTTTGCCCTCCCCCTTCTAACTTCGCTAGAAGTAACACTAATGATCACACAGTTGCTTTGAATAAGAGAAAGGTCTTCCCTTGTTTATGGTTAGAAACATCCTTAGAATTCATCTGGGTTTCACTCTAGGTTTACTGTTGCTTGAATACTTCCTGTGAAAGGAGACTCACTGCTGTGCAAAGGTGTGCACCTTATGGTTACATAAATACAATCAGTAAATGTTCATAAGGACATGGAGAAAGTAGTAGTATCTTCCCAGTACCAAGTGCTTACAAAGAGCCAAGAACTTTCCATGTTTTATCTTACTGAATTCACACAGCAACCTGATAGCATAGGTCATATTATCTATCTCCTTTTTTATGCTACCACCAGTCAATTAAGCTACTCAAGGTCACACAGAAGCCTCAGAAGAATCTAGTAAAGACTAGATTCTTAGTCAACAATTTGTTCCATTTTAGACCATATCCTACCATATTCTTTTTTCTTACAATGAGCCATGTATCATTTGTGTAATGCTTTTTTTCTTCTTTTCTTCTCCTTTTCTTCTTTAAGGTAAATTGATCTCCAATGGATGAAAGCAATAAATACTAGATTCTGGTGGTAAGAGAACACAGAAAAAAGGGGCCAGAGCAGCTGCCATCCAGCAGTTTGTAGCATTACAAACCACCCCAGTCAATAAATGGGCTTAACAAATGAGCAAGCAGAAGAAATACAGGCGGCTAATAAACATATGAAAAAAATATCCATTCTCACCGGTCATCAGAGAAACACAAGTCCAAACTACTCAGAGATCCATTTTACCCGAGTCAGAATGCCAGCCGAAAAGAAAACAAACAACTAATGCTGGCATGAATGTGGACTAAAAGAAGCCCTTATGTGCTGGTGGGAATATAAACTAGTCCAATCGCTATGAAAATTGCTATGGACATTTCTCAAGAAACTAGAAGTAGATCTACCATACGGTCCAGTTATCCCCTCGTGGGTATTTACCCAAAGACTCCAAATCAGCATTATCACAGAGATGGTTGGTTACCTATCAATGTTTATTACAGCACAATTCACAATAGTTAAGTTATGGAACCAACTTAGGTGCTCATCGGGAGAGAAATGGATAAGAAAAATGTGGTGTATATATAAGCAATAGAATTTTTTTCAGCCGTAAAGAAGACTGAAGTTATGTCATTTATGGGAAAATGGATGCAACTGGAGACACAGAGCCAATCTCAGAAAGACAATCTCATGTTTTCTCTCCTTTGTAGTTCCTATATTGTATATAGTCACATAAAATCATGTAAGCATATATTAAATGAAAGTGGAAGTGAAATTGTCTAGGGGAAAACGGAGGATTAGCAGGAAGGGGAGGACCAAGAAAGAGGAAGGTGGAAGGTAATAAGGCCGTATATGCTCAACATGAAGTATAAAGCTAAAGAAAAGAGAAAGAGAAGCACAGAAGCCCAAGAGAACTGCATTAGTACTCGCTGGGAGATTGGGACTGATGCTAAATTGATGTTTGGAGACTGTGTCAGGCAAAGAAAAGAGGATGGTAGGCTCTTGGAGAGCTCTTCAGCCTCAGGGGCTCTTAAAGCACTGCATAGCGGTGCTAAATAAAAAAAGCTAGCAGTGCTCATTGCCAGTATATTCAGACCACCCTTCAGTTAGCCTATCCCTCCTAGAAATTCATCACTGCATTTGCTCCCATTTTACTGGTCTGCTTATGTGGCTTACTGATTTCGAGCCCTCCCAATTTAACATAACTACATTCACATTTTGATGTACTAGCGACTCTGCCAAAGAAATATCTACCAATGCTTAGATCAGAGAAAGATTGCAGAGACTGGAGAGCTGTCTCAGAGATTAAGAGTACGTTCTGCCTCCCACGAGATTCTAATTCAGCTCCCAGCACCCATATAGGGTGGCTCACAAACACCTCTATCTCTGCCTCCAGAGGACTTGATGCATTCATGTGAACATACCCATACACAGATATGAATACTTAAATTATTTTCAAAGACTACAACCAAGCCAATACACTGGGGAGGAAAATCAAACATAGACATGTATGTGAAATAATATGACACCACAAGTTGTGTGTGTGCGTGCACGTGTGAGCGTGCTGTGAGAGAGAGGGAGAGGGAGAGACACATGAGTGCAGATGCCTGGGGAGGCCAGAAGGGGGTGATAGATTGCACTGGAGCTGAATTACACACAGTTGTGAACCACATAATATGGATACTAGGAACCAAACTTAGGTCCTCTAGAAGACCAGTACATGCTCTTAACCACAGAGCCATCTCTCTAGCCTAACTGTGCATGTTTAGGAGGTGGGGATGGGAAGAGAAAGGGGCAATGAGTCTAAAAGGTCTGATTTTTATGATTTTTTTTTTTTTGAGGCAGGGTCTCATGTAGTCCAGATTGGCCTCACAATCACTCTGTGACTGACAGTAACCTTGAACTTTTAATCCTCCTGCCTCCATCTCAAGTGCTAGAATTTTAAGTTCATACCATGTTAACCAGTTTCATGTGATATTTGGGGATGAAGCCAGAGAGTTGACATGCTAGGCAAGCACTCAACTGGATAACTTCCCCAGCTTATTTTTTGAAAACAAAACAAAATGTTCTTTTCAAGTCTTTGTGAAGTATAATTAGCAATAAATTAATGAATTTACATGATGCTAATATATGTGCACACATGCATGCATACATACATATATATATATATATATATATATATATATATATATATATATTAAGTGATTTCACAGACCAGCTGGAAAGGTTTTTGTTTTTTAGAAAGACCAATTAATAAAAAGTTTGTAACATGTTAAGTCCTAAGCCAGGCATTAGTGGCACACATCTTTAATCCCAGCACTCGGGAGGCAGAGGCAGGCAGATCTCTGTGAGTTCAAGGCCAACCTGGTCTACAGAGTGAATGCCAGGACAGGATACAAAGCTACACAGAGAAACCCTGCCTTCAAAACAAAACAAAACAAAACATGTTAAGTTCTCCCAGGCTTAAGTAACATCAGAGAAATCCAGGAAGTGTAGCCTAGCTCTACCTGTCTTTGGATCTTGTCTCTGTCTCCTTTCCTGAAGGACCTCAGTAAATTATTTCCTACTAAAGCTGTTA